GGGGGGGGGGGGGGGGGGCTGCGCACCGGTGGGACAGGAGCCTCCCCAGCAGCCCTGCCAAATCCCGGCGGTGGGGAGAGAAAGGAAAAGCAGGGAAGAGAGAGCAAGCCAATGAATAATAGATTACTAAAATCTAACCATCTAGAAAGCGCATACACAGGAGAGGGAAAGAGTGCATAATTCATCTGTAATTGCTCGGGGGGGCAATTTTAAATAAAGAAGAGAGAAATGTTGCACATTCCCTTTGTTTCTTTTTTAAGTTTTCCAGCGATGGAAATGTAGTTTCGTTCACACACCTTGGCCTTAGGGCTCAAAGGTGACCCAGCTACAGTCCTGGCGTCTGTCAGGTGATGTGGCTGGTCACACACGAGATGCCAAGGCGTGACTGAAGCATGACCTAAAAAATGACTGACTGTTGCCTGTAATACTGCAGGCAAAAAGTGGTGAACGTAGAGGATGCACCTGTAAAAAGACAGGGACAAAATCCTGGTACTATCTTGTTGATGACTATTTCATAGCTCCTGAAAATACTCCAGAGGAATTTCTATTTTGTGATTCACCGTTAATCATCCTGCTCACTTTGCAAACCATCAAATTTATGTGGTTAGCTTTTGACACAGCAACTGGAAACCTGTTTATCTTTCTTGTGTTTCTCCAGAATAAACAAGGGAACAGGAGAGAACGACACAGGCTGGCTAACCTGGAGTCTATAAAGGATGTTTCCTTGGGAATTGAGCATGGTTTTGTCTAGAGTTGATGATTTTATGTGATAAACTTACCTTCTGCATTTGTCAAGATTAAACACCTCAAAATTCTGATTGGCATTATGAAAAGCAACATAAATATAGACCCATACTCTCAGCTCAGAGATTTGCTTGTGCCAACATCCCATCCCTGAAAATCAAGCTCTTTTGGAGGAATAGCAAATGAGACAACATGCTCTGATTTCCTATTCACTGGGGGGAGGTACAAAAGGCTGGTCTATGCTGCAAAACCTGAGCATTTATAACTGTCGCTGTTTCACGGCTACCTGCGTAAAGCTCCTTTTGTTTTCTCATCTAGCTACACTCTTGGCCTCAGTGAAAGACTTTGGCAACAATTCCATGCTCTAGTTTGTATGAAAACCTTTCTCAGTTTCTACTTTGTAACATTTCAATATAACTGAATGTTACCTTCTTTTTTTCTTTTCTTTTGATGAAAGAGCGACTTAGAAACTTTTGATCTGCTTTCTCCTTACCATGATGTTTTATTTTTCCTCATGATGTTTCCTTGTACTGGTCTCTTCCAAAGAAAAATTTTTCAACCTCTTCAAAAAAGGCATAGTAAAGTGGGAAGAATAGGTAAAATGCCCACTCATAAAACATGCTGAAAAATACTGAGGTAGTCCTACAAGAAAAGGTAATTCTTCCTTTTTTATGTCTCCCTTGCCCTCTTCCTAAGAAGCAAATTAAAAGGTCTGAGGAAGATAATTGTTTTTTGTGGGTATGTGATTGAGATCCTAATAATAATAATGTAATTTGAAGAGCAATAGTTGAAGGCCTATATCTGCTAAAAATTAGTAACTGCTTATTATTTAAGCACCACTGTATGAACGTACCTGTTTTAACTTCTGCTAGCATGACAGCTTCTCAGCTTCCACAGCAACACCTGTTTCATGCTTATTTTTTAATTACTGTGTGTTCAGCACCTATTGAGACACTGTTTGTGGCATGCATGGAGTATGTGGTCCATATTACCAGCTCTGCATTTATTTTACTACTCAGTTATGACAAAGCTGATGCAGGTAGATGAGATGAGCAGTAGCATATCTTTCAGTGCCAGATGGTCTAGTACAGAAAACTGCAGTCTGAGAGACTGGCTCAGAAGTTAATTGTCTTGTGCTTTATTTTGTGAACGAGACAAGATGCCTACAGATACTGTGTTTCTTTTAATGATAAATTGTGGTTATTAATGTACTAAAAAATTTCCATTAAACAAGAGTAGGTATGGATCATATATTCCCCAGTGAAAAGTAAAATACAGTCTCATTCATTCAAAAACTTCATAGATTTGATCTGAATTCATTTGAACGATGCTGCCTAGGGAGAGCAAAGGAAAAGCAGTGTCACTGTATTCCCATCACGGAGCTGGGGGAGGGGGCTGCCTCTCTTTGAACATTCACTCTTAGCATGAAAGATGCAGGTTCAGTGTCTGCTTGAGGGGATTTAAGACCCCTCCACCACCTCTTTCTTAGTCCTTCATTGGTAACCTCCATGCCATTAAATATTGTGGGGTGCTTGCAATCCTGTTGCTGCTGTTCCATTTAGCATTAATAATTAAATCTTTACTGGCAGAGGTACTGAGCTTCAGATATCTTCCATCCTCGAGGAGGGCTCCAGGCTGAGAAGCATTCATGTCCTTTGTTGAAATGACTGCTCATATATTTTCCACACACCAGAATTGTGCCAGCCAGAGGGACTGAAGGTGGCCCACTTTAGAGTGACTGTCTCATGGTTAGGATGTTAATCTGGAAGAGATGGTAAACATGATTTTAAGTCCAGTTTCTGCTTCATTTGAACTGAACTACAAGGTCTTTGTTTTGCTATGAAAACTCTCACATTTAAATTTGTTTTGATGCAAGTCAGAGCTTGTTTTTAATTTTGGTTCCCCCCCCCCCCTTGCTT